ACTTACTCCCACCGTTACTAAAAGATTGCAATAGTTTAGTTTTTTCGCCAAACTGTAATATCATTTGGTCATAAATTAAATGTAATTTAGCACAATTAAATATTATAAAAAAATTATTTCAAAATTATATTTTGAAATAAATCCAATTTTATTAAATTTACATTATAACTAATGGGTATATCCCTATACCCGACCCGGACAACCGAAAGGGACAGGTCAAAGTATGACTGGTCACTTTTATCAATCACCAAATGAGATTAACTCTTCGATTGGGACGGGTCAAAATTTGACTCCAAAGTCAAAATCAACTTGTGGGGTGCAATTGACGGGGGTAGGGGGGCGTGTTCGGGTCGGGGCCGGGGTGGGGGGTTTACCGGGGGGGTTAGGGGGGTAGGAACCGTCAATTTTACGAACGGGGCACCGGAGCACCCTTGGGTCATCCCATGACATTGAAACCCAATGTCATGGGAACCTTGGTGCTAAAAGATTGCAATAGTTTAGTTTTTTCGCCAAACTGTAATATCATTTGGTTATAAATTAAATGTAATTTAGCACAATTAAATATTATAAAAATTTTATATTTCAAAATTATATTTTGAAATAAATCTAATTTTATTAAATTTACATTATAACTAAATATACTTTTTTTCATAATTCATAGTCAAAGGGTGCCACAATTTGATTAAAAAAGTCAAACTGTGCCATTCTTTTAAGGACAGAGGAGTATAAGTTATATTTGTATACTCCATCCGTTTCTTAAAACAGTTCCTCTTTTATTTTTTGGGTTTTTCTAAAACACTTCCATTTTTGATAAAAATGGCTAATATATCTAAATTAAATTGTTGCAATATACTCCATTAATATTCAATTTGCATTGATATAATAAGTCATTTAAATAATTTGTCTCTCTTTTTTTCTTCGATAATAAGAATATAATTAGAAGGTCAAATTACGAAATTAAATCTCATCCAAATCAAAATAGAAACTGTTTTAAGAAACGGAGGAAGTATTTTTTAAGAGAAGTGCTTAAGCCTAGTTTGGCAAGAGTGTTAAAGTCTTTTTTTAGTGTTTGGAAAAGCTATGAGTAATACTCCATCCGTTCACGAAAGAGTTTCCTTTATTGACTTTATTGGAAATTAAGGAAAAGATATTTTTGTGTTGACTTTCTAAAAAAGCTCTTGATGTGATAGGTAAAAGGAGAATGTGATGGATAAATTATTACTCCTCCGTCCCTAATTAGATTACAATTTTTTTTCTCTCCTCTCGATAATTTTTGTTTGTGTACGCGATTCCATTAAGTATTTGATAAAATAAAATATTCTTGTCACATCTTGTTTTGTAGAACTTTTGACGTAGTTTTTTAATATGTAATTTTTATTTCTTATTGATATATTTGTAAATAAAATGATTTTAAAAAGTGAGATATTTCTCCTCGTAAACCCCAATTTGTAATCAAATTAGGAACGGAGGGAGTAGTAAAAATGTATGATGTGATAGGTAGTGTAAGAATTAGTATAGGTAAAAATAGTTTTTTAATGGATTAGAGAAAGAATTTGTAGGACAAGAAAAAAAGAAAGGAGAACGAGTAAGAGTTTAAGTGACGGAGGGAGTAGAATACTAACAACGATTCAAAATATTGTTAGTGTATACTATTATAATTTCATTCAAAACAATATTGTTGGTATATACTACTCCTATTATAATTTTATTCAAAATACTAACAATCATTGAAACTATTGTTCTCAAACAAAATCTTAATTAGATATAAAAATTGACTTATATATTTTAAAATGGGATTATTTTTATGTACATATAAGACTTATAATCCTAATAAATAATATAAAAACATCACCAAAATATGAGCAAAATATAATATTTATCCTAAAAATAGGAGTAATATTTTAAACCCAAATTAGAAATATTACATTGTAACAATGTATCACTTCGTATTGATATTTTATACTCCATAGTATTTTTTTGGTATTTTATTAGTATTATTATTGATTTTATTTTCAAGATAAAACACGAATATCTTGGCCTGTTTTGATTCTTTTTCTATGTTTTATTCTTATTTAGTATTTTCATCAAATATAATGTCAAAGCATACTCTTAAATGAAACACAAAATACCAAAATAGTATTTCAGAGTGTCAAAACTCTTATTGAGGAAATAATTAAAACATATAAAGTCTTATTTTGATAGATTTCTTATTCTTGAATGTTTTTTCTTTAGAACTAATACTTTCACATACAAGATTTAAGTGTATAAATTAGTAACGACTAACCACACACCAACATCGGTTTTTAGACTCTATGCTTCAATGAATCGTGCTACTTGTAATATTGTACACCACTTGCGGCACATCAAGTTGTACATTAATTCTTGAGTTAATGACCGGTATATGTAAAAAATAAATATTGCATTCCTGACAGTGTAAGTCAGGAAAAAATTTTCTTGCAGTGCCATACGGAGTTCGTAACTCCGTTTCCCCTTGAATTAATTAACTAAACGGAGTAGGGAACTCCGTGTCTATTTTATTTATTAAAAAATAAACACATACGGATTAGCTAAATCCGTTCAAGCCCGTCGCTGGGCAAACTTGCTTTTTCTTTTTTTTTTTTTTTGGTGTACTAGAGAGTACAATATTTTCTTTCATGTATATAATTGAGTAAATAACAATTTATTTATATGAATGTATGTAAACTTTACTTCTTTATTTTGGTAATGTATGTAAAAAATTTATCCGTCGCCATTATCTTTAGTATTTTCCTTTTCTAACAATTCTATAAACATATATTTCACCATTGTAAAATTTACTCCGTATTTTAAATATGCATATTGATTGTAAAATTTTAAAGTTATTGTATTTTGTCTTCTTTTTTTTTGAATAAATTGTTATATTACTCTTGCAATAAAGTTATTGTATTTTTATATTGTTTGTAGTAGACCTTTTTACATCTATATTTTCTTTATGTATGTTTCCTTTGTTTTGTAATTTAATTATTTTATTATAAATAATTTCTAAGTAACAAAAATTAATTGATTTCTTTGAGAAACTAAAAATTATAATACTTTCTCCGTCCTTAAATAGATTACAATTTTTTTTCTCTCTCCTCTCAATAACTTTTGTTTGTTTACACGATTTCATTAAGTATTTGATAAAATAAAATATTCTGGTCACCTCTTGTTTTGTAGAACTTTTGACGTAGTTTTTTAATATGTAATTTTTATATCTTATTGATATGATAATTTGTGAATAAAATAATTTCAAAAGGTAGGAAATTTTACCTCGTAACCCGTAATTTGTAATCAAATTGGGGACGGAGTAATATTTAATAAAATATTTTAAAAAAAAGATAGAAAGGTTTAAAGCAAAAAAATTGAAACAAAAAACAACCATTAAGAAAATTGTAATTGGAACAAAACATTTGAAGAAAAAAAATTCGAACAAAAATATTGGAACAAAAGAATTTGGAACAAGCAAGAAACTCAATTTGGATGGAACAATAAAGTGGAAAGAAATTTGGCCGTTTGAGTCATTAATAAAGACTAAAACGGAGTAGGCAACTCCGGTTGGTATTTTTTGGGAAAATGTATATTAAATTTACATATAAAGGAAGTTAAAGCAATGATTTTACACATGCAGGGAAATCACCCCTAATTCTTTACACTAGCAGGATGATGGCACACACGAATATAAAATATTTGTGTAATTATAAAATTGCACAATGACATTTTGTGCTAGTGTATGCCATATATTAGTGTGTGTGGGGGGGGGGGGGGGGGGGGNGGCGGGATACTGGTGTACAACTTAGTATACACTAAGGGTATATTCATTTGGGTTAAAATAGTTAACTTCTAACTTTTTCTAACTTCTTTTGGTTTCTTCAAACTTCTTCCAATTTCTTTTAACGTTTCTAGTTTTTTCCAATTTCTTACAATTTCTTCAACAACGACTAAATTTTTTTACATATGATGAATATACAACAATATCATATATCCAAATTTATAATATACCACCTCAAACACGGACAAAAATGTACTCTTTTTTATCCAAAATTAGTTTTTTTACATATTTACTTAGGTGATTATTTAATTGAGTAATTTTTAATACTTTATTTTTCCTAACATTTTCTAACTTCTTCCAATTTTTTCAGACTTCTTTCAGTTTCTTCCAATTTTTTTCAACATACAATTTTGTTTTTACAATGCAAATTCATATTTCATATTAAAGTTAAAACTAAATAATATTGTTCATTCATACATCAAATTTTAGCTTTTGGCTTTGCAATTGCACACTCTAAGAGCGTATTCTTTAGAGCTTAAATTTTCAACTTCGGGTTTCTTTCATTTTTTTCATTTTCTTCTAATTTCTTCCTAATCTTTTTAGTTCTTTCAATTTTTTAACTATTCTCATTTTCTTCAATTTTTTTCTACTCCCAAAATAATGACTCTAAAAATCATATATTTTTAATGTATTATACTCCCCCCGTCCCGCAAAAAACTTCTTATTTTAACTTTTAAAGGATTTAAGGGGAGTGTATTTTGGTATTGACTTTCCAAAAATACCCTTTGATGTGATGGATAAAGTAGAATGTGATGTGTAGATTAAAAGAGAAAAAGTGTGATGTGATAGATAGGTTAAAAATTACTTCCTTCGTCCCAAATTATTTGTCACATTTCTATTACCGAGGCAAAATATCAAGTTTTTTCAATTCATTTTATTTACATATTGGTAAAGAAATAAAAAATAAAAATTACATATAAAAAAACTACATGAAAAGTTCTTCGAAATAAGAGGTGTCAAGAATATTTTATTTTATCAAATAACCAATGAAAACGTCGAAATAAACAAAAGTTCCTGCGACTGCTGAAAAAGCAAATGTTGTGAATATTTAGGGACGGAGGGAGTATTAAGAGTAAAAGTAAGGGGCTGTTTGGCAACTTCTGAATAGGTAAGTGCTGAACCAGTAAGAAGTCTGAACCATTAAGTGTTGAACCAGTAAGAGGTGTGAACCATTAAGAGCTAGTATATTGCTTAACTATTCAGAGGCAAATGTCTGATCAATTCAGATAAGAGGTCTTAACCATTCAGACTCTGTATAATACTTAACCATTCAGAGGCAAATCTCTTAACCATTCAGACATCTGAACCATTAAGAGGCTGAAACAAACAGTCTGAACCATTAAGTGCTGAACCATTCAGACATCTGAACCATTAAGAGGCTGAAACAAACAGCCCCTAACTTTTTAATAAAGAAATGGAAGAATTTTTTGGGACGGATGAAAAAGGAAAGGAGAAGGATTTTGTAAGACGGATGAAGTAGTTATTATGTTCATAACTATATTTATAAATTATTTCAAATTTTCTATTTTTATTTTATCACATGTCATGATTTTTATGATTGACGGTCATTATTAATATTTTTCCATTTTAGGCATTTTTCCATTTTTTAATATAAATAATATAGAGTAAAACTTTTTTGGGAAAATGGTTTTTTTTATTAATGTACATGACCTTAAACTATGTTACAAAAATTAGAGAATTTTATTAATCTAATTTGACACAGGAAAAACATCAATTAAAAATAATCATTATACTCCTACCTCCGTCTCTAATTAAATGGCATGTATACTTTTCTAGATTATCGAATTTTATTCACTTTCTTTACTTATTATAAGTATAATAATAATAATAATAATAATAATAATAATAGTAATAATAATAATAATATAAATTATAACAATTGTAGAAGTCATAATAATAGTAATAATAATAATAACAGCAACAACGAAAAGAACAATTATAATAAAAATAATGTGAAAAATAAACTTAAATAAATTTTGAATTTTCTTCCAGTTTTTTCTAAATTTTTCTAGTTTTTTCCTGATCATTGTTTTTTCTTGTTTCTTCATTTTCTCCCCGTTTTTTTCATTTTTTTAGTTTTTTCTAATTTCTTTTAACATCCAATTCTTTTTTTCTAAGAAAAAACTCCCTAGATAAGAGTAAAAACTATACAAATATTAAAATAGGAGTCACAAATCTTTTAAGACCAAAATAAAAATTCATATTGTCATAGTTAAACTGTCACACTCACCATATTGTCACATTGCAATTGTCACATTTCATCAATTAATGAGAAAGACAGAAATTGAAAATTAAAGTTATGAGCAACCTCCCAAACATCACAATGAACATCTGCACTACGAGCAAAGGTATGAGTAACCTTATTAAACGATCTATGAACAAAAGAAAAGGAAAAAGATTTAAAATGCGGTAAAAACCTTTATAAGCATCAATCAACGAGCCTGAATAAAACTAATTTGTTTTGTATTGTATTAATTTAAACTAAAATAAAAGTGATGCCACGGTTTTGTGGTCTACAAAAAAATAATTGCGCCAAGTTATAATTGAGTTGAATTAGAATTTTAATTTTTTTCTTCAATTATATTCGAGACAAGTTTCCTCTAATAACTTGAGTGGTAGAAATCTCACTTCTCAGAATTCCTAGGGAGGTTCATCCAGGCTAGAGCCCCAACGGAGGCAGATGCGTTGGCTTTTTATGCGTCATTAGGTTGAGAAAAAGTATTAACAGATATTACATTGTAATAGACTCAATAGAACTCAAAAAAATTTATATATTCATTTCAATAACGATGAACTTAAACCAAACTTTAAATAAAAGTTGAAATGTAGGATTATTATCTCAACTCAAAAAGGTGGGATTATTTTAGCACTAATTTAGCATTATTATACACTTAGCATTATTATACATAGAAGTAATTAATTTTAGCATTATTATACACTTAGCTTTATTACCTCTCAGTGTCATTGCCAGAAATCAAACTCAATCAGATCTTACCCTTGGCATTCTTTGCTTTTGCCAATTGCGCAACCCTCAACTGCGACGATAGAACTTTTGAAAATTTATATTTACTAAGCATGTTAGGGCATTCATTATGGATCACATTTTTTAAATGTTATTGGCCTTAATACAATGTAGTATCTGTTTATAATTTTTTCAATTTAAAGCATGATTCATAAGGAGCTAACATCTTTGCCTCCAGTGAGACTCGAACTTGGGTAAACTTTTACATAAATCCTGAGGGACACTAATTAAATGAAATATCAAGAAAGTGTTTTATGAGTTAAGCTAATTTTGATGTTGGCTTTCCGCATGTGCTCCATACCAATATAGCATATCAGTTATAGTAATTATATTAATAATAAATCTCCTTTTTTAGACCGAGTATTAATGGCAAATAATTAAGGAAAAGGTTCTAACAATAGTCCCAAAAAATCAAATGCATAATTAATTCCAAACCATAAAAAAACCAAGTGCATCAGGTGCATTAGCTCAAAATAAAAATCACATTTTAATTTTTCAAAACAGATGTGATGATATTGAACAACAAATAATCCTCTGTTAGGTTTTGAGAGAATATCTTCGAGAAATATTTCGTATAATTCTGTGTCAAAGCAAGAGAACAACAAAGTTGTATATATAGGAGAATTCCACAAGTTGGGAACTCTAATCCTGCTAGGAAAAAGAATAAACAAGGAAAAGGAATAGAAATATTTGCACTAAATATCACTAAAACTTAAGTCATTTCCCTAAATAGCACTTAAATTGTTTTATTCCCTAAATAGTATTTAAATTATTTTATTCCCTAAATAGCACTTAACAATATCCATAATGTCCAGTGATTGCAAATATTTACTTGAATAATGACTAATGCATAATGACTAAAAATGCTACATTATGAAGAAAAGTACACGTAGGGAAAGTCATTATGTTTTAGTGCTATTTAAGTAAATTCCCCAAAGGAATAACTATACAATGAAACAAATATGAGAAGATATTTACATTCTTATTTCTAACACCCACCGTCAAGTTGGAGCATGTAACAGTGAAATGCCCAACTTGGGAAGTAGAAGCTCCAAACGAGACTTTCCCAACACCTTGGTGTGTAGATCAACCGATTGTTGAGTAGTTGATACGTGTGTGTGCGGATGACTCCTTGAAAAAATTTATCACGAAAAAAAAGACTGTCAACCTCAATATCTTTCGTGCGTTCATGAACAAATGGATTATATGCGATATAAAAAGCGGCGACACTGTCACAACAAGTTGTCATAGGGTCAGTATGAAATATGCCAAGAGAGCGGAGCAAACCCTTCAACCATTTCAATTCACATGTAGTAGCAGCAAGGGCACGGTGCTCGGCCTCAGTAGAGGATCGTGCTACAGCTGTTTGCTTTTTCATCTTCGAAGATACGAGAGATCTCCCAAGCTGTACAAACCAACCTGTCAGAGATCATCGTGTAAGAGGACATGATGCCTAAACTGAGTCACACCACCCAGTCAACTGTAAGCTAATTTCAGTAGACACGAGTATTACCTATCCATGAAAGCCCTTAAGATACCGCACCACACACAGTGCCGCGTGCCAAAGAAATTAAGCCAAAGTATGACTTGCATAAGCCCATTCAGGGCGAGTAACAAATAAGTAGACCGAGCGCCCCACAAGATGCCTATATTTATCTTGTTCTGAAAGCCAAGGACTCTTAAAAAGAGCCAGACCTCCATAGGTGCACCGAGCGGTCGCAAGCCAAGCAACCCTGTTTGAGAAATAATGTCCAAAGCATATTTCCTTTGACATAGGAAAATCCATGTGGAACTACGGGCAACCTCAGTTTCCAAGAAGTAATTCAAAACACCAAGATCCTTCAAGTGAAAACATTCAAATTAATAACCCTTAAATTTTTGTATCAAATTTGAATTATTTCCTGCAATAATTAAATCATCCACATATACAAGGACATGAATGACCCCTCATTTGCCGGAAAGAGAGAGAAGGGAGTAGTCGGAGATGAATTGTACAAACCCATATTGTTTCAAAACCCTAGATAATTTAGTAAACCAACACCAGGGTACTTATTTCAGACCAATAAAAGACTTTCTGAGCTTACATACTTGTCTAGGTGCAGAAATCGAGAAGCCCGCTTGTAACACCCCAACCCACATAACCCGAATACTCAGCTCAGCGAACCACCTAAAAGTGAACAAATAGAAGCTTTTTTATTGGATAGGAGTATTAAAAACACCATGATGGATCACACCCTAGTGAACATAGGGAGTATATTACTACATTTTATGATAGTGAGCATATCTTATTACTTCGAGCTCATTCTTTCCAACTTACTTTCAGTTCACATATATTCAATTTATTTTGAAATTTTGGATAAAATTAACTTTCAATTTCTTCCAATTTTTTTTAACTACTTGTTTCTTCGAAACTCCTTTCAACGACTTCAAAAATATATTTATATATGATGAATATACAATAATATTATATATACAACTTTATAACATACCACCTCAAACATAATTTTTTTTAACCCATACCTAAAATTTTCTTACATATTTATTTGTGTAATCATTTAATTGAGTGATCCATTAATAGTAAAATTTTTCTAAGATTTCCCAACTCCTTCCATCTTTTTCCTTCTTTCAATTTTTTCTAACATTCAACTCTAATATTCTAACCTAAAAGAACAAAGTCAAAGTGAGACAGACATTAGCATCATTGAAAATACTCATTGTTCTTCTAATGCTTCCCATTTACTCAACATTTTTAGAGTAAGATAAAACTCTTTTGATTGAAATTAACCATGCTAGGGGTACAACAAAAATGTACCCTAAATTGTACCCCAAAGAAATAGACCGACATTTTAACGGAACACACTGGCACAAAATGCCAGTGCATCCCTTTGGGGTACAAAATGAGATACAAGTTTTGGTGTACAAATAGCTTAATCCGATTAAAATTTATGCAAAAGTGAAACAAGCCACATTATTTCTTTAAAAAACATCAATAGCTAGCTAGGAACCCTTTTTTACTAGTGCGGCTACATAACAAAGACTCGACACCAAACAGTTGTGAGCTTATGTGCAAAAGCAAAACAAAAAAACACCATAAGTCAGACTTTTTTTTTCTTTTCTGGATTATTTGCTATATACATGCTAGGAAAAAGAGGAGAGGAGATGGGTGCCTCTAATCTAAAGTTGGCTGAAAAGTTATGGAGGAAAAACCATGAAGGGGCACACCAACATGCAACCAAAGCCTCTTCTAAGTACAAAACTCTTTCGTGTGTTGCCCTCAAAACCCGCGGGGGGGGGGGGGGGGGGGGGT